AATCACTACCTAAATCTTTCTAAATCACTCGGTATTACAGAAACATGCTAAAAGACATGAGATTACCTTCTATCTAGGGCGTAAACCACCACCCAGTTTCTACAGTCATTATGAGAAGCCCCAGACAAGAATGCACCCAAGGACATAATTTTTGATGCTGTTGCTGGTACCTCATTAAAGAGTATGCACAAGACAGCAAACACCGCCTGAACATGAAGATAAGGACCACTGTAGAACTGCCTGGAACTGGGCAATGGGAACAAAACAGGGCTCCCTGAGCCAAAATGGGACCGTATATGGAAGTGAGTCATCAGAGTTCATCAAAAGGACACCGAAATGACCCCCAGGGACCATGGAAGGGATGGAGGGCATGTGAGGGTGGGGTATGTTGTAATTAGCACTAGAAAATGGAATGAATATGTATGATCACTCCAGGAAATTTTATGTATGTGCAGATCCTAGCGAAATCGAAGCTTTGGTTAATGCAACCTACAGCATGCACGTTAGGAGGAGCTATCCCTATGCATGTGGCACTGTAAAAAAGAGAATGCCTGTTTCCTAATACTGCATTGGTGTTAAGGTTTATTCATGATTTTCAGTGACACAGTCATTTTAAAATACCTTAAAATAAGCTAGTAGTATTATCACAGATTAAATTTTTACACACACACACACACACACACTCAAAGTCCTAAGCTGTGTATTTATATCACCCTAACTGTGTGACAATTATGGATAAGTGTTGTCCCCAGTGAGGGGAAGTAACAGATGGAAGCCTGCTAAAAAGCACATACCAATTTATTAATTGCTAAATGTAATCTGCTAGACCTTCACCAAGAGATTCTTTAGCTATTAAATTTCAGAGGGATTAGAAATTCAGAGAAACAGAAATTCAAAACAAATCGTTTTAATACTAATTAACTTAGCTATATGTATGGCAAGCATGTTATTTCCTCAGCTTGACAGTCTGCAATGACTGGGACCTCTAACTACGAATGCTGCTTTTTTTTTTAGTATCAGAAGTGTTCAAGCTCAGTTTAAGCAGTAGAAACTGTCACAGGAAGATCTATAGCAACTGAACAGCAGAATTTAGACACTTCCTCAGTTCATTCTTCAGATCAAAAAATTTACCAGCAAACAGTGCATCTGTTGCACAGTTATAACAATTTTCCTAAACATGTGCAAGCAGCTGTACTCCTTCCTTTCATGTGTGCAAACATTACTGGAACATATACAATCACATCAATTGTATATATATGAGACATAGTAATTTACATCTGGAAACATAAAATCTAACAAGCAAACATAGAAATTTCTAAGAAAGCATGTTTGGTCGCTTGCTGTCTCTCTCTCTTCCACTTTTGCTTTTCTGCTTCCACATTCTTTACATTTACAAGCAGTAGCATTATCTAACCTGTAGGGTACATAAGCGCTTCTTGCAATCTTGGTTCCCATTTCTGCACTCTTAGTCAAGAATAGGCCTGGATGATTACTGTACCTCTGCATGCCCTGGTTTTCTTGGACAGTTAGTGCAATACAAAAGTTTGTGTATTCACAAATAAGGAGATTCCCCCACAGTCTGGCTGATGAGCAGGACAAAGGGGGAGACTGACCGGAGCCATGGGTGAGTGGGATAAAAGAGCATATGCCAAGAAGAAAATTGCTCCCCCTTCTTTGGCAAGGGGGACAAAGGAGTCAGGCGACCACAGGTGAGAACAGATGGCAGGAGGCCGGAGTTTGGGGTAGGCAGGCCGGGAAGGCTGTAACTTCTGAGTACCTTGGCCAATGGGGAAAAGGAGAGGGTGTACCTCGGTCAAGAAATTAGGATAAAAGGGAGGCTGCGTCCTCCAGCAATTTGAGACACCCCACAGGGATATGCCCCGTGGACTCTCCCTTTATTTGAATAAAGTTTTAGGACTCCTCTGTCTCCTTTTTGGACGTTCAGTTCTTGACAGTGAGATTTTCTGCACAACAGCAAGCTGAGAAAGCTGGACCAACAAGGGGCGTTGTTCTCATCACTCCCTGGCTGGACTATCAGGGAGGAGAGCACTGGCTGAGTGTACAGGCTGTGCAAGTGACCTGCTGTCTGTGTTCCTCCTCCTTTTCCTTTATCTGGGCCCCAAGCAATGTACGTCTATCCTCAAATGGATCTGAATCTTTTTAAAAGCTTGTTTCTCTTAACTTGTAATAGGCCTCTGATCTTGTTAATGCCTTCTTGTAAGACTTTTACACTTGAATATTGAAATAACATTAGCTCGAGACACAAACACATTGGGAGAATAGTTTTAAGTTTTTGGACAGGAAAAAAAAAAGGCTATAATCTAAACAATGGGTTCCATGACTCAACATACTGAATACTAGCCTACTTTGTGGTGGGAGAAAGTACTATCTTAACATCCAACTAAGTGACAAAGGTGGACTGCAGTAGTTTTATTTCACTGTGTCAGATACATGGTGAAATACGGAGATACTAGATACATGGAGGGAAAAAAAAAAAAGAGGGTGGAGTAACATGTCAGGCAGAAATTTTAATGTCTTGAAATTTTCAATTTCTTGTTTGGAACAACTTCTCTATCTAAAATTAAGAACTAAAATCAATTTGTTTCACATTGAGCAAAATTGCAAACACTTCATTTGGTCCAAAGGCACTTGGAGGAAAGCCAACAAATGAAAGGCTAATATCACAAAAAGGCTGGAGAAGGCACCAATAGAGTTCACAGTGTTCCATTTTTATTCAGTATCTGAGCAGTTCAGATACTCATCTGGGGCCAAAGGACCCAGATTCATTTCTTTCCTCTCAGTCTGAAGTGAACTAAACCTGCATATCTCATCTCCCCAAAAAAACACACCAACATTTGCTATAATATAGTCAGATCACTCTATCTCTTCAAATTGCTGCCATTCTATTTTATGTAAATAAAAGTTCACTGGAGCACAGATTCCCAGCTAACAAAGTCTTTCTATCATACCTCCTTCTAACCTCTAGGCTGAAGTGTTCTTCCTATACCCTTTGTCTTGGACGCAATGAATATTTTAAGTGAGAACAGCTACAGCAGCAGAGATCAAGGGAGACCCATTTCAGAACTCCTTTATCAGGAGACCGTTGCCCTGGATTCAGCATCATACCCCAGCTTGAATCTTTTACCTCTTCAGGACTAGCCTAACAGAAAACACAGGATGTTCTGTTATACTTTTCCTTCAAACTGTTCATAAAAATATCCAAACAATCTCCACACCTGTCAATCAACTGCCAATCTTCTCCAGACCAGCATCATTAAATTTACAAGAGACTTGAACAAGTCTTTGTATCTGACTAGGAAACTGGAGCAAACTCCCAACAGTATTCAAATGTTCCTAAAATTGCATGAAAATATAAAAGTCAAGACCTAGGCTACATTACCATATGTCTCCTATAAGGAATGTATGACAGTACTGAGACAAGCAACTCTCAGAGAACAAGCTGAAAAGGGAGCAGCTGTAGCGGAATAACAAACTAGGTGAGGAAGTGTGAAGGATAAGCAACAGGAGCTTGGAAAAGTGTGTGATAAAATCTTAGGAAGAAAAGTATCAGAAAAAAAAAAGTAAAAAATCACCAATGGTAATAACACGGCAGTAGATGAACAGGAAATTGTTCTTTCAAATACTGTTCTGAAAAACAAATGCAAGTAAATGCCTTTGAAGTAAATGAAGTAAAAGGAAGCAAAGGCAAGAATGAACACATACTAGTGGTTGCTAGTAACAAATACCAGTGATGGCTGTTAATAAATTATTGAAGAGGAGCAGTAAGCCTTCCCTCTGCTTGATAAAAAAGAGGGAGCTATTTCCTGATTTCTGGAAAGTTAAACGTTCTGTTCAAGCATGCAATGGTATCAGTAACGATTTTACATAAAAGCATATTTTCATGTAGTTAAACACATATAACTTTTAGTATTTCAACAAACAGGCAAAGGAAACTTAACCCTCTGTCAGCAAAAATTAACATCTCATATGAGCTGGTGGAGCAACTTTTTAGATAGCCTTAATACATCACAGCACTTCTAAATGGAAATGCACCAGAGGGTGGTTCCTGCCTCCCACACATTATCCACACTTTTTTTCCTAGGCAGGACAGAATTAAGGCAAAGAATGAAAGTGATATTGGAATCAGATAGGAGCAAACATGCAGACACTTTAATTTCATACAATGCATTGCTGAATGGATATGAAAATGAAGGATACCTAGAAGTTTCAGTGAACAATTTGTTCAGGTAACGTGTACTTAAAACAAGATTCCAAACAGCAGCCCTGCAACAATTTCTTAGTACAAGCAAGATGAATTGCCTTTACAATGTATCTATATCTCACATTTTTCATGATATGTACTCTTGCTAGCAGCATCAAACATAGAATTAAAATTGTTTTTTGCTTTAAATCTTGTAAGAAAGTTAAGATGTGGTCAAAGACAGGAAGCTTCTACTAGCAACAGTTGTGCTGTGTTCTCTTTGTCAATATACACCTTTGAACAGAAATATTTGTTAAAATCAAATATAAAATTAGAATACTTTTTACATGGCGTATTTGACAAAGGATCACTAGACATTGCAGATGACAAGGAAATGAATTAAAGGAAAAAAAATAGATGTATTGTGAATAGACATTCCTAGGCATTACTGCAGTGAAATACAGTGGTTTAGTAGGGATCTAAATATTACACTGCATCACTGGTAGCACCTTTTTAACATGAAAGAAAAAAGAAAAAAGAAATGGTACTGGTCAAATCTGAAAAAAAACATTAGTCAAATCCACGCTGCAAACTACTTCTGAAGAAAGACTATTTTGAGATGTTCAGATCACACTGTAACATTCAAACTGATGTTTAAGTTGTCATATTTTTTGTTGTTTAAGTTGTAGTATTTTTCATAAATGATGGTGGTAGAGCGAATCTGTAGATAAAACAGACACAGAGACATATACTAAAAAAGAAAGACCGTGGTTAAATGTAACTGAGGATTGATACTCACCTCCTTCTCCTGATCCAGAGCCATTATCTGAAATGGAAGCAGAGGAAGAGAATATAAAAAGAAAGCAAATGAAAATATTGCTTGAGGAATAGTTGTTTGTTCAGCAACTTAGTACTGTAAAACATTATATAGATGTTATATTTCATGGAGCAGCTGTAACAACAAAACATCTTGCTAAGATTTGGCATCGTTCAGGACAGTTTGTACATGCTTATCGTTGTCCTATCCTCCCTTCGCTGTCCGGGTATTTTTGCTCAGGCAACAGCAGAATTCATTGATGAAAACACAATTGCTATCTCAGTCTCTTTTAAATAGCTTTACATTCAAACTTGTTAAAACTAAAAAAAGAGTATACAGTTTGATTTTTGAAATCTGCTTAACAAATGTAAGTAGGCTTGTGGGGGCTTGTTTTGTTTCGTTTTAAAACCTCTGGCTCTAGGAATAAGACTCGAAGGAGTCACACATAAAGCATCTGACTGCAGAACTTTCTGAAGCAACTAGTGTTCAAAATAAACATGATTTAAGTCAACTAGCTATAAATGAGCTCCTCTCAAGCGATCACTTCATAGAAAAATTACTAAATCTACAGATATTTCATTGTGATCTAAAACTGATTAGATCTGATGAGTGATAGCTGGAAGTTGCGCCCCCTTAGTGCTAACAGTTTAAGCATCAACAGGATTTAGCTGCATCATCACCCCAGGAGACCTAGGTCAGCTTTGGAGCAATAGGCTACAGCTTCGGGCAGCACTGTGCTCAGGGTCTTCAGTGAGCACCACAGTAAAACCACCCTCTGAATCACAAATCTTCCTCCGTCTTTCTTACTTGCAGGAGGTGGAAAGAACAGGATGGCACCTGCTGTCAGTAAATTGCTTCCCATCCCAGTTAGCTCAGACTCTCTAAAAGGTGAGGAGCAGAGCACTTCTTACTCTGCTCATTTCAGACCTCTCACACCAGTTTGGTGATAGAAAAGGTAGCTGCATTTATTTCCACAAGCCTGGAAAGAATAAAAAAAATGGAGAAGTAGTATTCTCGCTCTCATCTATGAGCTCATTGTTCATGTCAGAGGAAAAACCAAATTGTCAGTTTGTTCAATTCTCCCTCTTTTTAAAATGGTTGTATATCTAAGAATAGCTCTTTCTAGTGTGTGGATAAAAGTGTGAAATTCCATATTGCTAGGTCGATTCGCACATTAGAAATAATCTCTTATCACATGGAGTATCAGGAATAGAGATTTTTCACCAGTCTAAGTTTTCCTTTCTGTCATTCCATACCATAATTTTGTGCCTAATAGAACCTTACAGATACAAGGACAAAAACAGAAGAATGGTGTCTGTTCCATGGATAGTGACCCAGTTTAGTGACAAAGAAGATTCCATATAAGATTTCATTGTTGAATCACTGAAAAATATACTGCACAGTGCAGTATGACTTCATAAACGAATTTGAAGACGTATAATTTATATGAAGTAAGTCCGTAGGTTTCTTCATAATGGTTGAAATTGTGTGATTTGGTTGCTTTGGTGTTTTGTTTTTTAACCTAAAAATATGAGCAAGTTTAACATGTAGCTCATAAAAAAAAGGCTAAAATGCCACAAAGAACTGAGTCACTCCAGGCTTTTATTTCAAAATCTACCTTTCCACATACTTTTGCTGGCACATTCAGTCTCAAGGCAAGAAACACCATTCAGTTCCAGTACACAGCAGTTACTGTATTGTGGGGCACCAGTTATAGCATTAGGTGTATATGCTGTGAGGCAGGGGAGATATCGCTATATAGACAGTAGAAGCTGTAACAAGAGAAGCAAGTGATACCCAGAGCACCTATCAGGGTTGATAGTGGTGAAGTCCACAGGCAGCTCTGCCTCCACTTAACAGAGCACCCTAGTAACGGGATAGATCCATGCCTGCGCTTTTAATGGCTTCTTGAGACCTCAAAGCAGGGAGTGGCATCCTGAATAACACTTCATACCATTTCTGACTTTTCGCTCAGATCTCACGCTTCCTCTCTGAATTTGAATTCCTGTCTACAGGGTAATCTTGCTAAGCCAAGCTAGGGGGTTTTGGTTTTGTTATTGCAAGCTTACTGGTACAAGCATCTCCACTTTTTTCAGTCCCCTAAAGCAATTCAGGATTTCTGAAAGTGTTTCCACACAACAAGGAGACCAATGAGATCCAGGAAAGAGAACATTCAAACAAGGAAGGAACCTGCAAAGAAACAACATGCCCTAGCTCAAGTCAGTAATTAGAGAGTGACTGTCTTTTCTATTTACCTAAGCCACCATTCACTGGATAGGTTCATAAAAAATGTGCTTGTACATTTTGTACGTAGCACACAAATGTACAGCCTCTCTCAGTTTGAGGGCTACGCTAGAACTCTTGTTTCCAGGGTAATCATGCTAAAATCAGGCTGCAGTCAGAATCCCTGGTTTTTTTTTTGCTCTCAGGGCCTCAGACATTTCTATACTGTGCTTTGATGTAGACAGTATCCTCCTCAATCCCAACCAAGCATGAAGCCTCTCTCATTCAGATTGGGCTGCTCTCCCAGAAGGGGTGGTTTTTAACTACCTTAAGCTAACATGAAAATTGAACCTTCTCCTCTGCTGGGGCAAATGAATCAGACTGCTTAGCATAAAAAGAATGACAGATGGACCGCTGATGAAATTTAAGAGAATAAACACTTTTACTTCAATTCAGTTGGGGTACACGATCCAGTGAGCATTTCTACAACAAACCTATCAGATTCCGCACACAGAGAGACAGGCAAAGTAATGCCTAAATGCTGCATTCTTTTTAGATTTAAGTAAAAAATAGGACAGCAGCTACTCACATAAGAACAGAAGGAAATCCATCTTCTGACACATCAGAAGTAAAACTGTAGGCCATTCCAAGACACAGTGTATTTGTAGAATTTAGTTATTGCAAGTATGAACTGGCATCTGAGAAAGGATTTTCAACACATCAACTTCAGTACCCAGGAGTTACACTCTTTATGCCAAAGTCCCCCTTCTTCCCTAAAGCTTTTGGAATATAGTTACAATGCTTTTAATACAAAGACTGTGTCCATCACTTCCTTGTGTTAAGCACAAGTTGGCCTTCACAAATTAACATTCCTGAAAATTCACTGAAAAAAAAAATAGATGATATTGATTGTTTTTATTTGTCATCAATTACTTTTCTCACCAAACAGAAAAAAGAAGAGAGAAAAATGGAGCTGCTGCCTTAAGTCACAGTTTCTGTTAATTGACTATAATCCACCTGCATTTTCAGGTTAATGTAGATCTAACTAAATCCTTTCCATGGTAGGACAGGGCAATCTTTTTGCCATTTAATTTCTGGATATAGTGCTTTTAGCTAAAAAGTAGGTAAGATTCTTCTTAGTTTACTATTAAGATGAATATCCTGATCTCCAGTTGACACTAGGTCTTGCAACAAGGGTCCTGTTGCAAGAGCTGGTCGGGAGCTTTAAATTTCACTCTTTCTGCAGTAATTCTTCATCATCTCCTGCCGCAGCAGTACAAATCTCTTAAAACTCAAAACAGTAGTGCAAAGGCTAGAGTTTCAGAAGAGATCCAAAACTGGAACAGACAATCTCAAAGCCCCAGCCAGATCAAAGACCAAAGAAAAACAACGCAAGTTCCAATGTCCTGGTGCTCGCAGGCAGGGGAGCACTGTTAACGCTGCTGCCAGTGTACAAAATAAGTGTGTTAAGAAGTATACCAGCCCAGCCAAAACCACACCCTCAGCTCAACTCCGTGCTCTTCCTGCTGGGTTTATATTCCCACCCTCCAGAGCATGGCTGCCTAATATCAATTATCCTCTGTTTTAGCAGGATCTTTGGATAGCAGTGCTGACAAACCTAATTGCTATCAGCTGTAAGGCCTCTAGCTGCTGGAAATGGGCTTTTAACCTCCACTATGCCAGGCTATCCAACAGTAATCGTCATTATCCTCTTCATCTCTGTTGAAAAAGCTTTTGCTATCATTTGATCCTGCTTATTTATATCCTGCAAAAGAATTGATACTAGATTTTAAATTCTAGAAGAATTAGACATTAAATTAAAAGAACCAGATATTAAATTCTAGCATGTGTTGATGAAGTACATCTATGTACTTCCTATTTACTTCCAAAACATTCCCTTCCTAATGACAAAAGGGAGATGTGCTGTTGCAAGCCCTCAATGCAGGGTGGCAAGAAAACAGCTGCTTTAGTAAGTGGGCTTTATTTATATTTTTATTTGAAGTGTATGTTCTATACCACAATAAATCTAGAAATGAGTTTCTCAGCTGACTATTAAATTAAATGTGTATTTTAACATTAGGCTTCCATGTTTGCTGTGGCTTTTTGGGAGAGCATGAATAGTTATTTCTACAGTTTATAAACCCAGAAGTGAGTTGCCTGGAACTTCCTTAATGCCCCACAAAGGATTAAAATTAAGAGTATATTCCTTTTCAGGACAATGTGTATATCTCCTTATGCTTTATGTCTGCTATGTTTTGTCTGAGTGTCCCACAGAAATAACCACTCACAGTAAAAATCTCTGCATTCCAACCTAGAGTAACTGTTTGATTACTTCGAGATCATTCTGCAGTGCAATGTATCACAAAGGGATAAAACAGAAAATGGGGGCTGGAGGAGTGAATTTAATAGAGCCAGTATTTGTTTCTTGCTGTGCAAATAACTTTTTTTTTTAAACTTTAGAAATTCCCACATAAGAAGCAATAAACTATGCCTTCCAAATTCATGTAGTACACCAAAAATGTCTAAGTACAGTATTTTAAAATATCAAGTACTACATCATTATGTGCTTACATTTTCACATGCATATAATATAAATCTGGCAGCAGTCAAAATGCTGGCAGTGTGTGTGAGCTAACAGAGCATGCATTCTCAGGAATGAATCATGAAAGTCCATCTCTTATTTACTACACTTACTTCTTCTAAACCCATAAAACACAGTGAATCCACCAACAGAAAGAGCCAGAAGAAACCTTTTGACCTTGTGGCTTTCCTTTTCAAGCCTTTGAGCACACTCTGACCACCTTCTCTCCCTAGTTTCTTCCCTTTTAGCCCTTTTAGCCTTTGATTCGCCTTTTAGCAAGCCAGTTCAGGATAACCTTGGCTAAAGAATCCTCAGGTGGCATTGTATGAATGAATTTTGACTTAACGTCATCCTTTCTGAAATGACCAAGGCTTCAGGCCAGCATCTAGGCTGTTGCTCTTACGAGTCTGGCAGTAGTCCTGTTTTAGGTATTTAAAATTCCTCATGACCTGCTGTATGTTTCCATCCCTGACTTACAAGGCTGTACTATAAATAGGAAATTGGTAAGTGTGTAAAATCACTGATCTGTACACCACATAATCCCACAATCAGCTGCCCTGTCTGAACTGATAGGGGAAAAAGCCATAGAGTAAGGAGGAAAAGTGGTGAAAGACAGGAAATACCACCAGGTAGTACTATGGGTAGGGACTTTACTGGAGAGCAAAGACCCCATTTACCTCCACTCAGCCACAGACTGGATGACTCATTCCTTATGAGTACAAAAGGCCAAGTCAAAAGGCCAAGGTAGTTGTAGGACAAAATTTTATATAGTTTATTATCAACCACTTCATAAATGTATACGTTGGCAAAAAGACCACTGAAGCTGCATTTTATTCATTTTCCTGTTGTTTTGTGTACTCTGCAATATGGGCCTAAGTGTATTGGCTGAAACTCAGAGACTCTAATCATCCACAGCTTCTTCCAATGGTTGTTAAACACTTCCAAAAACTGTGTATTTGAAAAAGCAATGTCCCTTCATATAAAAAAAAATTGTTTTGAAAGTGTTGGGACTTCTTCATAGAAGCTCCAAAGTTTCAGTTATACATTCTCTTAAATTTATTTAAACACTACTTTTTAATGAGAAAAAGTCTTGCATTTTGTTAATTTCTAAAGCACCTATGAATTACTTTCATTAATGTTGCTAATTTGGGGATCCCCCATCCCTGACAGCACTTGGACAAAGGAATGCAATATATAAATATGCTGATCAATAACGCATCATGACCTTAAAAAGGTAATCAAAATGTTACTGGATAAGAAATAGGTATTAGGGAGTGACTAAATCATTCAGTACAGTTTATTATATAGCTTCAGACAGGAGCAATCCTTATCAAATAGGAAGTATTTTACTGTTGTGTGAGATTTAGAATTCTGACATACTTTAAAATTTACTTAGACCTAATGCATCATGACAAATGGAATTTCATCCTATTTCTCTTGAATAACCTGATAGGATAGAACTGGTCTTTGTTTTGAAAAATTGGGATAAGAAAATAGTGAATATCTACTTATTGATTAAAGGCATATCAGAACAAAGCATTTTCATAGCAAATTCTGAGGCTCTAGCTGAAAATGTATGTGATTGTGTTATAAAGGACTTTTTAAAAATTTAGGTATTTGATTCTTGCCATATATGTTTTATAGATTAAGAGTACAAATATATTGTTTTTATGTATATTAAGAAGATTCTTAATATATTAACAATTACAGATTATCTATAGCCATAGAATGGATAGGTTCCAGAGAATGGCTTTTATGATCTAATATTCTAAAAATAATCATAAGATGTCAGATACTTAGGAAGCAACAGTTACAGTTCTGTTTTAGAACCCTACTGAAGCACTGTAAATTGTACAAGTGTAAATCCAGTATGAAGCTGAATCACATCCTCAGTGTCAGAAATGTATTTTCCGTACTTGCTAGTCAACTTTGTCTCAGTGTATGTCTTCATCTATTACACTACACTGACAATTTACGCTGCATTTCCTGTTTTAAGTTTTCTTTTGGTTTGTTTTTAGTAGGACTTAAAGAAAAGAAGAGGAAGGTTAAAAAGATCCTCAAAGTAGCTGAGTGATATAGTGATTAGCAGATACTTGAAACTGAGAAGAATCAATTTTTCATTTCAAAATGTCGTTTTCCTGGTAGGATAAATCACATTAAAAAAAAAAGTTCTCCAGAATATCCTCCTACTGTTTTGTTTTAGTGAAAGAAACCTTTTACACTGAGTCTTTAAAAATATTCTGCATGAAATAAAAAATATATATTTATTTACACAGCCTCAATTCAATCTACTCCTGGGGTATTGTTATTGGAATATGTGATTCTTCAAAATTACATTGGATTTTGTCCTATTCCTGTGACTTTTGGAATTAGTATACAGGCAGGAGACTGAAGAAGATGATGCATTCAGTCATCCACATGAAGTACTCTGGAATTATGCAGTTCAACTGGGCACTAAACACAGGTTTCCTTACAGACATCCATCATTTCGGATGTCTGTAAACAAAACAATCTCAGGCTAGGTCTATGGTGCAGTCAAAGGCATTAGGGCCGCTAATGTAAATGTAGCCAAGCTTGAGTTAAATTAGCTAGCTCTGGGACTGACAAAAGAGCACAACACAGAACTTTACCGAGGTAAACTCACAGATATTTACCCTGATTTCTAAAATGGAGTGTTGCAGCTGCCCCTGAGTTCCAGGCTGCTGCCCCTAAGTTGCCATCTGTTACTAAACTAGCAAACATAAGGCTAGCTAAGAATGTCTGCTTAGACCTGTAGTCACACTTTAGCTACCACAGAGATGCATCTTACTTGGTCTAATAATAGTAAGGTAGAACTTTTATGTATTGAAAGATATAGGATGCCCCAAAGCAGATCTTGGATGTGATGACCCAAAGTGGAATCAGTCAAATATGATACTTTGGTTAGAGGCAGTATGTCAGTCAGGGTGATGGATGTCGCTTGTTGGATGTAACGCTAAATATATACATCCAAAAAATGAGTGCTAAAGAAATAAATAGTCTAGAATCTGCTCAGTTGTGTTGTAAGCTTTGTGAATTAATATCAAAGATCCCCTATAGAATTCACCAGCATTGTTTCAAATATTTTTTTCCTTTAAGTGCTTCTGTTTACTTGTTAACATACCAGAGACATATCAGATTTGTCTGTATCACTACATTTCATCATTAAAGTGGATTTGTGTTTTCCACATTATTTCATTGTACAAAAAGCATGAAAATAATTCTCTCTAGAATTAAAAACAAAATTAAAAAGCAATCCTATAACCTCATTCATTGGTGACATAGAATGATGTTTTACATACCAGAATAACAAGGTCCTCTTGATACCACTGTTATCTCTTTCTGATGCTTGCATGCAGCTCTCCTAAGGAAGCACTCATTTTGGTAAGTGTCACCATTTGATCCACAAACAGGAATATAATTTGTGTGACACTGAAAAAGAAATTTTAAGGCAACTCAGTCCTACAAGATCATATGAATAATCTCAGATACATAACTATCATCCCGTATATTAACATGTATGTATGATGTTGGTAATAAATTATCATTCTGTTCACTAAAGGAAAAAAATTAAAAGTTAGCTTCTCTACCACTGTAGGTTTGCCTCTCAGACCACTGAAATAATAGTCCAACTCCATATGAACATACTAACTCACTAAAAAAAATATATTTAAATAACTGAAAACCTTTTGTGGATCTCAAAAATGATTGGAGGGAATATGACAAGCATCTACAAGGATCTGGAGGATAAACACACCAAGCAAAGAGAAGACTTCTTCAATATAGCAGAAGAATGTATGACTAGAAACTGAGGGATAAAACTGGACAAAGGAGAATTTAAAGTGAACATTGTTTAAGGGGGAGGGAAATTGCTGATCTTTTTGGTCATACAACTGTCTTTCAAGGGAGATGGAAAACAACCACCATCCTCATTTAGTTCATGAGTATCATAAGCCTGTTCTTCTCTGTCAATAACTTTTGTACTGCTATTTAGAAAAAAAATGAGTTCACAAGTCATTAGGGTTGGTATATTTTTTTTAAAAAAAAAAAGGAAGAAGAGAAAATTTAGCATTTGGACTGATTTATTCAGGGACAGCCTGCATTTTACCATTCCTTACATTCTAAGACAGACAATGATGGGCCTCATATATATAATGTATTCAAAAATATTCTGGGAAACATACTGGAACAGCCATTCCACCTGGCAGCAGTGAATGATAGGTCACTTCCTACCAACCTGAATCTCCAAGGTTGGATATTCTTGATATGGAAAAACAGACATTTTCATATTTGGGGCTTATAAGATAACATTAATTCTAGACATCTTTGGCACATTTAAAACCCCATGGGGTTGGGGGAAGAGAAAAAAAAAACAGTAATAAACAAAGATGCCATCTAGTCCCAAAATTTACACGTCTTAAACATGAACAAACTAGTGAAAGAGAGCTGACACACAGAGAAAGATGTTATTTAAGCTAAACTGTCCCAAACAGTAGCAACAATTTCTCTGTGAGTGAAAATTCTGGCATACAAAACCCTCAAAATATCCGATTCCAATAACAAAATATCCTTCCTCCTTTGTCATCGTTCCAAAGATTACCAACAGAGATTGAAATAAGCATGCAGAAATGGAAATAAATCATCTGCCAGTTTTGTGATACTTTCATTTATTGAATAGCTTGCAGACATTTTATCATACCCATCCGTCCTATCATATCTCACACTGAACGGTCAGCATTAGTGAATAAATAAAAATGAGATTTATTTTTTAAGAGAACAATGCTTTCCAATAGATAATTCTCAATTAATTCTAAAAGTTGTCCAGCGGTGTTTAAAAGTAGACAGTTTCTGTGTGTACCTTTTTTTCAAAGTTTGATAATTCTTTAGTGAAATTTCTGGATATCCACCACTGGATGTTGTCTATTGCTTTTCTTTTATTTAAATTCTATAAAATTCCATATAAATTGCAGCAAAAGACTTAAAAGTTTGCTAAACATTTTCTTCGTCACCTCACAGTCATTAATAAAAACAGAGGTATCCTTCGTAATGGCTAGGGCTGAAAGGGAGGATATCAAGGCTACTGCAAGCAGAGCACAGAACCCTTACAAGAATACTTTAGCACCTCTGCTAGATCTGATTTGACATTTTAATTTTGGAACCTTAAACTTCAGTTTATAATTTGAGTAGATGACATGGCACGGCAGAGAAAGCCTTCAAATTGTTCAGAAAAGCAGAGTCTAGCAGAGCTCTTGCTGCCATGACATTACATGTGTTTCAACGACAAAACTATCCATCATTAATTTCTGAAGAGGATCCTAAGAGGAAAATCTATGATCATTACTACTTGAAGTTTTAAAAGACTAGAATTTAAGAAATGATACTAGGCTAGGCACGGCTACACATTCAGATTCTCCCAGGCAGAGAGACTTTTTTAGTATAAGAGGCTGGAGAAGGAACGGTGATTCAGACTGAAAGGAAACTGAGATCTATATGCATTTTCTTGAATTTGAAGGACGTATCGTGCTAGGTTTTGCCTTAGATAAGAGCAGCTGGCTCTTAAAAATAGTGCCCTTTTTTCACCAAAACGGCCCATTCTCAGGCAGCCAGCAAAGCCAAGCTGATTAGCCTTGCACCTGGTGACGGCACAACAGGACTTCCTTCAACAGGAAAATCCTCAGCTGACCAGCACTGAAATCTGAGAGAATTTTAGTTTGGCAATTCTCCTTCCAGAATGCATATTTTTTTAAGCTGCAATGGATCAGACCAATGGTTTGATTTAGCCAAGATTCTGTCTCCAGCTGTGAGGATCAGAAATACTCTTTATGTCCTTATCTCCCCCCATTCTCTTTGCAGTGTGTTCTGAACTGAACCATTTTACACAGTTTTGTCCAAATCCTTTTCCAGATCTTCTAATGTCACCAAAAGAAAAAAATCTAACAAGCTGTTGGATGATTTTGCATGTAGATATGCAAAAGCCCTAATGGTTTGGGCTGGGATTTTTTTGAGGGGAAGATTTTAGAGGTGCTAGTTTCAGCTGTATAATTCAAGAGGAAAGCTCGAGGAGGAATTCAAGATGCTATTATCTTGCTTAGGCTTGTACCTTAGACTACAAGGCAAGTTTTTCATGAAATAGAAAGAAGCTTTTTAATGAAACTATCAAATTTACCACCTCTACAAAATAAAACAAAACCTTTCCTTAGCCTAGAGTTTATTTTCTTTGCATTTTTAATCATTACTGAGTTCTGATTCTATTATCTTCATAAATAAAAGTTACAGCTAGAGTGAAGGCTATTATTGCCTTCTCCTAAGCATTTGTTAGCATTTTAAGAAGCAATCAGATCCCTTTGTTCTCATGGGAGGTAAGTTAAAGAATGCACCCACCTAGACTGCGCTACATTTAGAGCCAGTGATACCCTAAAATAGATTTTTAAGGTTTTAGGAATTAAACTTGTGTAAGATCACATGTCCACTGATGCTAGTCTGGTTCCTCTTGATTTATAATTTATTGTAAACAGAATACAAGTTTATTCTTAAAAAAGGATAAGCCTCCCTATAGGTGATTAATAACACTGAGAACTCCTGCAGTTTCACCAGGAGTCTCATAAAATTTAGTATTTTTATCCTGGCTATTAATTATGAAAACAAAGAATCTAAGTATTCTCTTTTATCTATAAAGAATGGGGAGGGGACTGTTTACCATGTTGGTTATAAAAAGGTATGAACTATGCATATTAAAAACCTAAATATCAGTAAGTCAAAAATGTGAATTTGATATTTACTAACTTTTAAGAGTTCAGAGGATTTTTTAAAATTAAATCTCACTATTTTTTTTGGAGTCAGGCTAATTCAAAGAATCTAGTATTCTCTTTTATCTATAAAGAATGGGGAGGGGACTGTTTACCATGTTGGTTATAAAAAGGTATGAACTATGCATATTAAAAACCTAAATATCAGTAAGTCAAAAATGTGAATTTGATATTTACTAACTTTTAAGAGTTCAGAGGATTTTTTAAAATTAAATCTCACTATTTTTTTTGGAGTCAGGCTAATTCACCACTTTCCATGAAGAAACTTTGTGATCACTGGTAATTCTGTTATTATCTGATTTTCACTTGCACACGCACAGTGCCAAAGTATGTTTTTCGGACTTCTGTACTTTCCTCCTCTTTCAGTCCACTTTAAATGCAGTTTTTGTTATTATTTTCGGCACACAGGAATTGAAGATATTGTGGCTCATGTCTCAGAAGAAGGACATGGAATTTGGTGCCTGACAAAATACACACCTTGCCCCTATGATTTGACTAGGAGATTCTGTGGTGCAGAGAAACATGCCAAGAGAACTATCTAAGTAAGAAATTCAACTAGCAGAGTGCAGAAGAATTTCCAAATACTAATCTTACCATGAGTTAAATCATAACTTCATCTAGGTCATCTTCCTTCTCATCTCACGTCTCAGGGGCACAATGAGATGAAGGGAGAGCGCAGAAATAGCAGGTATGATCCAGTGCTCACTGACCCTGACAGAAAGGGCCATGGGTGTCAGACATATGGCAGCCTCCCTTTACTCTGTGATTCAGACCGACTTAACAAAACTTAACAGGGAACTGATGTGGTCATACTCCCCAAATGCTCTTTGAGCACAACCAGTTGTGCTCAGCCTGTGCTCATGTATAAATAAATATAATTAAAAACCTGAAGAATTAGGATATTACTGGATTATACAAGCATTTTGATCAGTGAAATTTTTGAAATTGCCTTTCTAGTAATACATGAATACACCAGAAAAAGTGGGCAGGAAAATCACCCAAAAAAGAGGAAAAAATCCTTACCTGAAACTGACATGCACATTTCAAGCCATCGCTGCCTTCTTTGCACACCCCTCCATATTTACATGATGATTCATCACACACTCTTACATCAGGGTCTCTTACATTTAACTCTACAAGAAAAAAAGAAAGAGAGAAAAGAAATTGTAACATGGGTAATTTTTGAGACTATACAATCTGTCTTACACCCACTGAGTCTTTCCACTCCTTCCTCTCCCCTACAGAAACTGAAGGAAAAAAAGGTAGAATTGTCACATCCTCTGTGCTGAACTGGCCACATCCTATTCCTAGACAGGGAGGTTCATTTCACTGGCAGAACAGGCACGGCTAATTTCTGCTTCATGACACAAACAGCTTCAGGGCATGTACAAGTATATTCTGCCAAAATCGTGTTTTGTGTACTCCACTCCTTGTAGGAGTCAGGACCCTTAAACAAGCAGCAGTTTGTATTTCTCACCCAATATATCTTTTTACCTGACTTGCCACAGAGATTCTGAAAGAAAGACTGAAATTCTGAGGAAACTTATTCAGAATTTTTCTGTGTTGTATTCTAATCTATAGGTAATCTGCACTATCGTCTTTCATATTAACAATACCTTTACATTCGTATATAGAATAATATAATTTACTGTAGGACCAGAACCACTTGTCTTAGCTGCTACATAGAAATATATAAAAATAAAGTATATCCTGCTTCAGTGAACTTATTGGAGAGGTATCGACTTGAGGAGCACAAAGAAAGAAAGAGACTGTATAAATCAATGCACTCAACAAGCACAACAGCTGCTTAACTGGTGTCAAGTTTTTTGGGCATCACATCCACAGGTAGTTTTGAAGGAGGTTAAATATACTCTTCTGATATTTTATTTGAACTGTATTTAGGAGAAAGAACAATAAAAGGTACAGGTGGGAAGCATTCAATTTTATCCAAAATACAATCTTGCTAGACTCAGTTGAATAGCATTGTTACTGTTGATTGCAACGAAAAAATGAAAATAATACTGTCGGAAAATGCTTTTAAGAGGATATTTTGTGTTGACTCAAGTGAGAAATCTCCAGAACTCTATGATAATATGACTAACAGGTTTAGAGCTGTATGTTTTGAAGTATTTTCTCTAACTCTTAGTAAGCAAACTCTATCCAAATGATTGCGTTAAGGAAAACACTGCAAAATTGCCATTCAGAAACTGTGAAATATAGTTCATATAATATGAAAAACTAGTTCATATAATATGCATAAATATTTAAATATTATAAATTTATATTGTAAAATTGTGTTATACATACATATATAGTATATATATATATTTAATATATATAATAATAAATATAATAATTTTTAAATATATATATTTAATAATACTTTCAATATAATAAGTCATAGCATTAAAGTTATAGGAGTATAACTCAACAGAACACCCAGTGGTAAGTCCTGCATTTTCTTAGACATGACAAAAAATTCTAAAAAATATAAGGCCAAAAAATACATTTTTTCTTTATGTCCATCACTCCTGAAGATATAAATGAGCATGATGTCTATGCCATTTGATGGTTAGATATCCTGGTTGCCATACCAACCATGCACATGTGTTCTATAATGTTATGTTGCCATTTATTAAATGCGATTTCTTCACTGTAGGACCTAAGTTAATATGAAAGAACATTGCAGATTTTCTTTTCTTGTGTTCGTAATTTGAACACAAGGAAATTGTGAAGGAAATGTCTTTCCCCTCATGAAGATCTATTCTACGAACAAACTATCAAGATAAAGAAGAAATGATGGTCAGACCCAAGGGAAGAATGTACCTTTTGCTGATACTGCATTTCAGAGAACATAATTTATAAAAGAGAAAAAACGGTTGGATAAATTACAGAGCTAGGAACTTGCAAAATCCTATTCTTATGTGCCTGGGAAACTAAGCATATGTGGGTTCCAATTCTGAATGCCCCCATTCTCAAAATGGCTGTATTCGACTGCTATGCACGAGCTTGCCTGACACCCTATATGAATGAAGGAAACCCTAAGGCAGCTCTAATTCATGCCTGAATGGCTAAGTGATTTCCATTGACACATCTGTACCATGCAGGCTTGCTATCAACTCATGTCTACTCTCCATGCTCATGTATTTGACTCCAGTTTGTCCACGCCTGGTCCTTGCTGCCCCACAGAGGTTTCTTTGAAGCTATCCACCCACCTGGTTGCTAGGAGTCTTTTCTCTAGAGGACAGATATAACTTTTTAGCCTGGGAGGGGCAGGATCCAGGGTGAATCAAAAGCACTCCCCAGCTAGCATTTCAGCAACAGGATGACAGGTACTTGTGCCTAATGTAGCTACTGCTCGAACTACAATAGTTATTGATAAGTGAAAGATGTTAAAGCAAAATTAGAATAGGAAGAATGAAGATGGGGCAGGGAATCAGCCCTTGCCCCCCCAACATAATGAACTGAGACTTCATTTTAGCAGAAATATCCTCAGGAGAAATTAAGGTGACAGGAAGGACAGTTATAATTCAATTTTAGGGTGAATTCTTTCATAGAAATTATAAACACTGATTATAAGCTTCTTTGCATAAGAGAAGAACTCTCAACAAGTAATGAACTGTTACAGATCATTCAAAGATCAGAAGCCATCATGATACTCCAAAACTATATGAAAGACAAGATGTCCTGGTGACTGATAAAAATGTAAAAATAAGAATGAATGTTAACAGAATGATTTGACGAGTAACCGTAGATGTCTGGCATGTGTAATATATGAATTTCTCTTTCTTGAATAGAATCCCCATCAAAAAAAAAAAGAATTAAGGAGTTTATGTAATATTCCCAGAAGGATGGAATATGTCAGAAAGGACTTACAAAGCACATAAAAACATAAAATCATAGAATCATTAAGGTTAGAAAAAGCCTTTGAGTTCATTGAGTCCAACCATAAGCCCTTCAACACCCTGCCTGTTACACCATGTCCCTAAGAGCCTCATCTCCATGTTCCATGCCAGGGACAGTATATCCACCACTTCCTTGGGCAGCCTGTTCCAATGCTTCGCCACCCTTTCTGTGTAGAAATTTCTCCTAATATCTAACCCGAAGCTCCCCTGCTGCAATTTGAGGCCATTTCTTCTTGTCCTGTTTTTGTTTGGTATTTTGGAGAAGCCCACGACCTCACTACAACCTCCATTCAGGTAGTTGTAGAGAGCGATAAGGTCTCCCCTGACCCTCCTCTTTTCCACAATAACCCTAGCTGCCTCAGCCTCCCCTCATAAGGCCTGTGCTCTAGCCCTTTCACCAGCTTCATTGCCCTTCTTTGAGGTGCTGGAGCTTGTTCAATTTCCTTCTTGTAGTGAGAGGCCCAAAAGTGAACACAGAATTCGAAGAGTGGCCTGAGCAGTGCCAAGTACAGGGTGGGGACGATCACTTCCCTAGTCCTTCTGGCTACACTGTTCCTGATACCTACCAGGAGGCTATTGGCCTTCTTGGTCACCTCGGTACACTGCTGCCTCATGCTCAGACGGCTGTCGGCCGACACCCCCAGATCCTTTTCTGCCGTGCAGCTCTTCAGCCACTCTGCCCCAAGCCTGTAGCGCTGCACGGGGTTGTTGTGACTGAAGTGCAGGACTTGGCTCTTGGCTTTCTTGAATCTCATGTGGTTGGCCTCAGCCCATCCATCTAGCCTGTTCCGATCCTGCTGTAGAGCCTTCCTACCCTCATGCACATTAACTCTTCCTCCCTGTTTGGTATCATCTGCAAACTTACTGAGGGTGCACTCAATCCCCTCATCCAGATCATCAATAAATATAATAAAGAGGACCAACCCCAACACTCACCCCTGGGGAGCACGGCTCGTGATCAGGTCACCAGCTGGATTTAACTCCATTCACCACCAGCCTCTGAGCCTGGTCTTCACCCAGCAAAGAGTACATCTTTCTAAGCCCTGAGCTGTCAGCTTCTCCAGGAGAAGGCAGTGGGAGACTGTTTCGAAGGCCTAACTGAAGTAGACCATGTCCACAGCCTTTCCCTCACCCACTAGGTGGGTCACCTGCTCATAGAAAGAGATCAGGTTGGTAAGGCAGGATCTGCCTTTCATGAACCCATATTGGCTGGGCCTGATCCCTTGGTTGTCACACACATGCTGTGTACTTGCCCTCAAGATGATCTGGTCCATAACTTTCCCCGATATCAAGGTCAGGCTGGCAGGTCTGTATTTCCCTGGATCCTCCATCTGACCCTTCTTGTAGATGAGGGTCACGCTGGCAAGTCTGCAGTCATCTAGGTCCTCCTGTTGACCAGGACTGCTGATGATGATAGAGAGCGGCTTGGTGAGCACTTCTGCCAGCTCTCTCAGAACCCTCAGGTGGAGCCCATCTGGCCCCAAAGACTTGTGAGTGCCCAGGTGGTGTAGCAGGTCACTGACTGTTTCCTCCTGAATTATGGGGAGTTTCTTCTGCTCTCCATAGGTGTCTTCCAGCTCAGGGGGCCAAGTACCTTGAGGATAAATGTGTGTACCTTGAGGATAACAGGATGTTAAAGACTGAGGCAAAGAAGTCATTAAGTACCTCAGCCTTATCCTCATCCTTCGTGATGACGTTCCCTGCTGCATCCAGTAAAGAATGGAAGTTCGCCTTGGCCCTCCTTTTCTTGGTAATGTATCTGTAAAAATACTTTTTGTTGTCTTTTGCTGTGGTGGCCAGATTGAGTTCCATCTGAGCTTTTGTCTTCCTAATTTCCTCCCTACATATCCTAATGACATCCTTGTACTCTTCCCAAGTTGCTGTCCCCTTCTTCTAAAGGTGATAGACTTCTCTTTTTTTGCCCAGTCTCAGCAATAGTTGCCTATTCAGCCAGGCCTGTCTTCTTCCCCTCCGGCTTGTCTTTTGGCATACGGGGACAGCCTGCTCCTGCACCTTTAAGATTTCCTTCTTGAGAAAAGTCCATCTTGGACCCCTTTGCTCTTCAGGACTGTTTCTATGATCCTGATCCATAAGCACTCAATTTTTCCCACTTGGGAGTCCATGCAATCAAAATGCTCCCTAATATACAGCAGTACTCCCCATTCATTCCTTCCTTGCCTGTCCCTTCTGAAGAGTCTGTAGTCATCCATTGTAGCACTCCAGTCATGACAGTGGTCCCACTATGTTTCAGTGATAGCAACTATGTCATAGTTTTCCTGATGCACTGTTTCCTCTAGCTCCTCCTGTTTGTTTCCCATGCTGTATGCATTGGTTTAGATGTACTTCAGCTGTGCTACTGAGCTTTCCTCCAAACCTGGCATGCTGACTGTAGGCTCATCACTAGCAATCCCAGTTTTATCACCCTCCTCTAGTTTAAAAACCTAAACCTAGTTTAAATCCCTCTCAATGAGCCATGCCAACTCCTAGGCAAGGATTCTTTTTCCCCTGAAAGACAGGTGAACCCTGTCTCTTGCCAGGAGGCCCGGTGCATAAAGACTGCCCCATGATCGAAAAATTCGTAGCCATCTGTTGAGCAGGTGGCTTTTCCTATTCCTCTCACCATCCTTCCCTGACACTGAGGCGGTAGAGAACACCACCTGTGCACCCACTCCCCTCAACTAATCTCCCCCAAAATCCATTTTGTTGGACTTCAGACTTCTCTGAGCAACTTCATTGCTGCCAACCTGGAAGAGCAATAGTTGACAGTAGTCAGAGGGCTGTATAAGACCTGTGACCCTTTTTGTGATGTCTCTTAGCTGGGCCCCAGAGAGGCAACAGACCTCCCTGCATATTGGTCCCTCTGTTCTCCTCTGAATGGTGTCACCCACAAGAGTTACCCTTCTTTTCTTTTTGGTAGAGGCAGTCTTAAGGCATAGGCTTGGCTGCCTTACCGTAGACAACCCCCCCTTGGTCCATGTCCTCATCTAGCTGTCCCTCCAGCTCCAGGGCTTCATACTTATTGCATATGGTCACCTGAGGAGGTCATGTGGGCAAGGAGGGGATTTTCCTGCCACCTCAAGCAGGGACCTGTTTCCATGCTTCCTGGTTTCTTAATTCCGTCTCCTCTGCCCTATAGCAAGAGGGTGTGGGGGGATTCTCAGATAGATTAGGAGTGTGCCTCCAGTCCATTTCTTGAGTTGACTGCAGGGTGTGACTTCACCTCTTTCTCACATTCTCTGATGGCATTCCTACCTCCTCCTTCAGTGATGCTACCAGGCTAAGCAGTTATACCTAATGCAGGTGTTGTCTCTGCTAATCCCTGGTAACATTGGGAAGCTCAGACACTCCCTGCAGCTGGAGACCTGGACTACCGCATGTACGTGTGGCAGCTCACCATGTAGCTAATGGCTTTGGATAATTTGTTATATATTTCTTTAATTTCTATCACAACTAATTTCCAAGACTTTGACAAATTTAAATAAGAGAAAACCATGATACATTGCATACAGAGAGAAGAAAGTAGTAATCCATCAACTCACAGAAGAAAATATATTCAGTGTAATTAAATCACGCTTCCAAATTTATGATAATATTAATCTCCAAAGACCTGAAATGAGGTATTCCAAATGATTTCCTAGTATCTCTTTGTTCTGCGAAAACAGTTCCTGATAGTGTGAAGCCTGATGTGCACATAGTACTTTGCAGGGATTTGGCTGCAAAGACCCATGTCAAAATCTTTTTGTTTTTCTTTCTTGCTTTTCAAATAAATTCATCTTGTGATAATCTGAGACATCACTAAAAATCAAGTAAAATATTTTCCATTTTGTCTCCACTCAGAGAATTCAAAATATAGCTCAACAGGAATAACTGGAGATTGCCTTTTTGGCTGTGTCCTCAGTGTGCTCTTTTGAGGCCTGAGCTTTTGGCAGCAACGTGAATTACACATGTTAAAACTAGGAACCTGAAGGTGAAACCCCATTTGCAGTTCAAGCACATTAGGCATCCAGCAGATGTGTTAAGAATAAATGAAATTTACAGGGGACAAATCCAGTAGTTTCATAAGCAAATTGTTCTTTAAGAAGTCATTGTCTCCTGAGCTTAGCATTACTACATAAAGGAAAAAAACATCCACCTTTTCCCTGTTGGAAATGAGCAGAAATATTTACTAAAACTGCTGCCAGCTTTGGAGCTCTTCAGTATTTCTCCTGCACCTGAGAAAAAACCCTCTCTGT